GAAAAAAAAAATTGAAGCAAAAATTTTGCTTATTGAAAATATTCGATCATTTTTTTTTTTTTTTTTTATTTTTCACTCACATCACTGAAATTGCTCAATTCAATTTCTCTTCAAAATATTGTCATACAGATATATTCCCTCTTTCTCTCTCTCTCTCTTTCTCTTTCATTCATTTTCTTTCTATTCTTTGTCTTTTCTCTCTCTCCCTCTCTCTCTCTCTCTCTCTCTCTTTGAATAATAAACAAAATGCATCAAATTGTAATCATCTCTTATTATAATTTCAATTTTTTTTTTTTTTGAAAGATACTTTTCATTTCTTTTTTTTTCAATTCTTATATGAAATTAAATATTTAAAGTTCATTTCAATCAGTTATAAAAAGCTAAAAGTATTGTTAAAATTTTATAATTCAATCATATCTCATTTTTAAGCATACATATTCATAATTTTAATATAGCTAAGATTAATTTATTGACATATATTTCAAATTCTTAGATTACATTGTTTACTATGAGAGAGAGAGAGAGGGAGAGAGAGGAAGAAGGAGAGAGGGAGAGAGAGATTTATATAAGTTTATATTTTCTGTAACATTTATTTCACTTTAAATAGATATAATTACTGTATTCAGAATATATTTGAATATAAATTGAAGTGGCAAATAAAACTAATTTCAAAACTAATCTTTAAACCATTTCAATTTGAGTAGAAGAAATTATTACAATTAGTTTTTTTTTTTCACAAAAAAAAATTCATTTTAATTTTGTAATATTATTTTAAAAATATTATTTCTACTACTATATGCTATTATTTTGGTTAAATAATTGTAAATAAGTAAATGAAAAGTTAGATTAAATCAATAAATGAATTAAGTGAAAATTGACTGAAATTATTTTAGTTTTTGATGAAATAAATTAATGTGACATTTTCTTTTTTTTTTTTTTTTTTTTGTCAACAAAGTAATAATTTGAATTCGTCATTTCATTCATTAATTTCAGTATAACAAATAAATGATTTTCTTCCTTTTTTTTTTTTTTTGTTTTTGTTTTTGTTTTATGTAATCAATCAGTCCTTTAAATATAGGCCAATAGCATTTGCCCTCTCTCTCTCTCTCTCTCTCTCTTTGTATTTTGCTTTCTTTTCCCTTTTCTCTCATAAAAAAATTTATTTATTCCGCCTCTTCTCTCTCTCTCTCTCTTTTGTTTTGTTTTTTTTTTTTAAATTTCACATTAATTTATAACATTTGATATAGTTTATCATAAATAACAAATGTAGAATTAGTATAACAAAAGAAATAACAGTTTAGTGATAATTTAGTATAAAATTAATAAATAATTAAAAATTTGATTAATAAATTTAAAAAAAAAAATTTAACATTTCAATCATTTATTAATTTTGATCTCGCTATGATCTCGATCAAACGAAATGATAAAATCTTTAGTAATTCTTTGTTAAATTTACAACAAAATAAAAAAAAACCATAAATAATGACATGAAAAATAATGAAATTCTATTGCTGTTGTAGTTTTACTTTAAAATTTGATTGAATACAATTTGATTTATCGATTTTTTTTTTTAAATAATTTTAAAGTTACATTTTTAAAGTTAAAATTTCAATAATTTTATAGTTATAAATATGTTCAATTAAATTTATATGTAGAAAATATATTAATGAATGAATAGAAAGTACTATTAATTAATATTTTATTTTTGAATTGTACTTTAAAATTTGATTGAATACAATTTGATTTATCGATTTTTTTTAAATAATTTTAAAATTACATTAATATATAGAAAATATATTGGTGAATGATAAAAAAGTTAAAAAAGGAAATGGTGAAGATCGATTTGATGATGAATCAGAGTTTAGCCATGAGCTTAGCATGGAGCATGAGCCATCTGATGAGCCAATGATGATAGTATCATCGACTATTACCGCCACGACAATTGCGCCTATAGAGCTGCTCGAACAAGCACAGGAACGATTCCGTAAGCTTAGCTTATCTTCAATTTAAATTTTAATTTAAAGAAAATGATCCATTGGGAATAAAGACACAGTTATGAGAATATTTGAAACATTTCAGAATATTTTTTGAAAATTTTATAAGCTCAATTGCTTTTTCAATCAATTTTAGAAAATTATAATAAGTTGTAATATTATAATCATTTCTGAAATAATTTTAAATAATTTTAATCTGAAATAATTTTAAAACAATCAATCAATAATGTTGCATTTCAGTATCTCACTAGTTTATCATGATTCCATGTTACCAAACTTAAATAGTAATCATTTAACCTAAAGATTTTGATTGAAGATTTAATTTAAAAAATTTCACAAGTTCTCATAAAAACAACCACAATGTTTAAAAATATATTTCATTTTAACATGAATTTCAAAGATATAATCCCGAAATTAACCCATACCTTACCGTTATTTCTATTCTCTTCCACTCTGAAATTAACCCTTACCTTACCCTTACAAATATCCGCTTTTGCTCTCTAAACTAATACCTTCCGTTATTTCAATATCCTCTTTCTAGAAATTAACCCTACCTTGCCCTTACTTAAATATCTCTTCTATGAAAAATTAACCCATAACGTTATTTCAATATCTCTTCCGCTCTAGAAATTAACCCCTAATTGCCCACTTAAATATCCTCTTCTACTCCCGAAATTAACTACCTTCCGTTATTTCAATATCCTCTTCCACTCTAGAAATTAACCCCTACCTTGCCCTTACTTAAATATCTCTTTACTAAAAATTAACCCATACCTTACGTTATTTCAATATCCTCTTCGCTCTAGAAATTAACCCCTACCTTGCCCTTACTTAAATATCCTCTTCTACTCCCGAAATTAACCTCCACCTTACCGTTATTTCAATATCCTCTTCCGCTCTAGAAATTAACCCTACCTTGCCCTTACTTAAATATCCTCTTCTACTCCGAAATTAACCCATACCTTCCGTTATTTCAATATCCTCTTCCACTCTCGAAATTAACCCTTACCTTGCCCTTACTTAAATATCCTCTTCTACTCCCGAAATTAACCCCTACCTTCCGTTATTTCAATATCCTCTTCCACTCTAGAAATTAACCCCTACCTTGCCCTTACTTAAATATCCTCTTCTACTCCCGAAATTAACCCATACCTTACCGTTATTTCAATATCCTCTTCCGCTCTAGAAATTAACCCCTACCTTGCCCTTACTTAAATATCCTCTTCTACTCCCGAAATTAACCCCTACCTTCCGTTATTTCAATATCCTCTTCCACTCTCGAAATTAACCCCTACCTTGCCCTTACTTAAATATCCTCTTCTACTCCCGAAATTAACCCCTACCTTCCGTTATTTCAATATTCTCTTCCACTCTCGAAATTAACCCTTACCTTGCCCTTACTTCAATATCCTCTCCCACTCTCTAAATTAACCCCTACCTTACCCCTACTTCAATATTCCCTTTCATTCTTCCATCTATTTCTAAATGAAATGAACTACCTATAATTAATTAAAAACAATGAGTGCTAAAAAAAAATTATTTACCACTCTTTAATAATACTAATCGCAACATCATTTTATCATAAAAGATAAGAAATATTGTTTACTTGAATTATCAATAAACATTTTTATTGGTTCAAAAAATCTTTCTGAATAGTTTATTCAAATATTAAAGTCATATAATGATTGAGCATCTGCTCAACATTATAATTTAAAATTCTTTTTTTTTTTAATGAATTATTCATAAAATTCATCTATGCTAACAAATATTTTTTTTAATATGTAAATAAAAAAGAGATTTTTTTTTTTTTTTTTGAAAGTATTTTGAACAATTTTCATTTATCATATATTTACTTTAATGATAATTTAAATAATTAATAAAAATAATTTTTTACAGACAATTAACAACAAATAAAGAATCATTAAAAGATGCGGTGGTAAATTTTGTTGGCGATAAAGCTAAAACACTTTCTGATATTACTCGGAAGAAAATGATGGCAAAAACTGGTTGTTCGTTTTTTTTTTTTTTAATATTTTAATTTTACTTCTAATTTTACTTTATATTTGGAAATGAAAAATAAATGAATAAAAAATTAAACTAATTTAAAGTTTTGGAAATATTGGTGAAAATATCTTAAGGCTATTATCATATGGATTAGAACCATCTGCAGAATGGCATACATATAAGTTAGCTTTAGCTTTAGCATTTGCACTTTTAAATTAATTTCAAATATTTGCACAATTTTTTTTCTGGTATAAAATAAGTAATAAAATGAATTATTATTATTATTATTATTATTCATATAAATTGTTATTATTTCCTATAAATAATATAAATTATTGTTTGATAAACATTCAAAATTTGTGCTTTTTGATAAAGAAAAAAATGTTTGTCAGTGAAATAAAATATAAAATTGTGTGTACCTTTTTTACTTTTTTTTTTTTTTGTAAGATTATTTTTTTAAAATTTTTAAATTTCAATAAATATTTTAGTATCAGATAAATTATTGTTGATAAACATTCAAAATTTGTGCTTTTTGATAAAGGAAAAAAAATGTTTGTCAATGAAATAAAATATAAAAATTGTGTGTACCTTTTTTACTTTTTTTTTGTAGATATTTTTAAAATTTTTAAATTTCAATAATTGTTTTAGTATCAGAATGGGTTTTCGTTTTTTTGGCATAATTTGTCTTGCATTAATTTTGTGCTGTGCATTCTTTCTGATACGCAAATTATTTGGAAAGAAACGACATGGCGAAAAAAAACAAAAAGGATTGAAAGGATTTTTGGTGGAAAAGGCGCTGATCTTATCACTATTGATAAAAATAAGGCAAAAAATTTTTGTTATCAATTTTTTACTAATAAAAGATTAAATTTGAAATAAACTTTTTTTGCTGTATTTGTTTAAATTTTGAATTATTTCAATTTTTTTTTTTTTTAAAATGAAATATTTGAGTAAATGTTTCCATTTTAGTTGACAACGGATTTAGAACAATTGGAAGAAAATATGGAACAAAATGAGAAAGAGCAAGCAGAGGAAAAAGAAGAAGTAATAAAGTTTTTTTAAACTTTTTTTTTTTAAATGATTTTTTTAGTTTAATTTAAGTTTCATTTCATTTCATTTATTTATTATCAATTTTTTTTAATTAAATAATTTTCCTAACTGTAAAATAATTTCTTTTAAACAAACTATTAATTTTTTACTTTGAAAAGTTTTTTTTGCTTTTTTCATTCGACGAGAATGAGAAATGATGCTTAAACTAAAAGAATTCTACAAAATAATACAAATTATTTTATTATTTACCTATTCAGGTAAAACTTGGAAGATTGCAATATAAGCTCGACTATGATTTTCAACAAAATCAGGTATTTTTGAAAGTTTTAAATTAATAAATTAATATTAAATTTTATGCAAATAATTTGTACTTACAACTAACTCTAATAGAAACTGTCAGTGCTATAAATATTTTGCATTATAAATTTTAATCCAATACTATTCAATCTTTTCTGATTACTAATTAATCATTGAAAATTTTTCATACTATTTAAATTTCATTAAATAAAAATAAGTTAAATTTTAAATTTCAAAATGCATTTAATTAGATAATAATGATATGCAAATAATGCTATTACAAAAGAAATAAAATATTATTCTATCTAAAGTAATTCAAAAAAGAAAAAAAACTAATAATTATAATGAATCCATTTTTGTAGTCCAAAAAAAAAATATTTTATTAATTTAAATTTAAATTCTATTACTGATATCAGTGCAAAGCATAAGTTAAATTTTAAATTTCGAAATGCATTTTAAATAATGCTATTACAAAAAAAGTAAAATATTATTCTATCTAAAGTAATTCAAAAAAGAGGAAAAAAACTAATAATTATAATGAATCCATTTTTGTAGTCCAAAAAAAAAAAAATTTATTAATTTAAATTTAAATTCTATTGCTGATATTAGTGCAAAACATAAGTTAAATTTTAAATTTCTGCATTTATATAGATATCAGCTATTACAAAAAAAAAAATATTATTCTATTTAAAGTTAAACTAATAATTATAATGAATCCATTTTAGTCAAAAAAATATTTTATTATTTAAATTAAATTCTATTACATATCAAAAAAAAGTGAAAATTTCATTATCTTAAATAATGCTATTACAAAAAATAAAATATTATTCTATTTAAAATAATTCAAAAAAGAAAAAAAAAACTAATAATTATAGTGAATGCATTTTTGTAGTCCAAAAAAAAAAAATATTTTATTAATTTAAATTTAAATTCTATTACTGATATCAGTGCAAAACATAAGTTAAATTTTAAATTTCAAACTGCATTTTAAATAATGCTATTACAAAAAAAAAATAAAATATTATTCTGTTTAAAGTAATTCAAAAAAAAAAAAAAAACTAATAATTATAATGAATCCATTTTTGTAGTCCAAAAAAAAAATATTTTATTAATTTAAATTTAAATTCTATTACTGATATCAGTGCAAGGCATAAGTTAAATTTTAAATTTCAAACTGCATTTTAAATAATGTTATTACAAAAAAAAAATAAGATATTATTCTGTTTAAAGTAACTCAAAAAAAAAAAACTAATAATTATAATGAATCCATTTTTGTAGTCCAAAAAAAAAAATATTTTATTAATTTAAATTTAAATTCTATTACTAATATCCGTGTGAAATTTTTAGTTAGCTGTGACAGTGATACAAGCAGAAGATTTACCAGGAATGGATATGAGTGGAACATCAGATCCTTATGTGAAATTATATCTTTTACCGGAAAAAAGAAGTGGAGACGAAAGTACATCGTAAAACTCTCAATCCTGTTTTTAATGAAACATTTATATTCAAGGTATTATATTTTGTTTTACTTTTTTAAGTTTCTTTTTTCATAAAATTAACAAAATTAATTTACTTTTAGCCTACTTTTCACAAAAAAAAATTAACAAATTTATATTTTGTTTTACTTTTAAGTCTCTTTTTTCATAAAATTAACAAAATTAATTTAAAAATTAACAAAATTAATTTACTTTTAGCACATTTATATTCAAGGTATTATATTTTGTTTTACTTTTTTAAGTTTCTTTTTTCATAAAATTAATAAATTAATTTATTTTTAGCCTAATTCACAAAAAAAAAAAAATTAACAAATTTATATTTTGTTTTACTTTTAAGTTTCTTTTTCATAAATTAATAAATTAATTTTTAGCCTAATTTAAAAAAAAAAAAATTAACAAATTTATATTTTGTTTTACTTTTTTAAGTTTCTTTTTTCATAAAATTAATAAATTAATTTATTTTTAGCCTAATTTTCAAAAAAAAAAAAAAAATAACAAATTTATATTTTGTTTTACTTTTTTAAGTTTCTTTTTTCATAAAATTAATAAATAATTTATTTTAGCCTAATTTTTCAAAAAAAAATTAACAAATTTATATTTTGTTTTACTTTTTAAGTTTCTTTTTCATAAAATTAACAAAATTAATTTACTTTTAGCCTAATTTTCACAAAAAAAAATTAACAAATTAAAATTAAACTAATTTGAAATGATAATTATTACTTAGTTATTTTTAAGGTACCATTTGTTGAAATAGCATCAAAAACATTGGTTTTTGCTGTTTATGATTTTGATCGTTTCTCGAAACATGATCAAATTGGCCAAGTGTTGATACCACTTGGTAAAATAGATCTTGGCCAAGTGATTGAGGAATGGAAAGATATTGCACCACCACCTGATGATAAAGAAGCAGTTCGTTTTACATTATTCTTATCAGTTATCATTTATCAAACATTTTTTATTTGAATATTAATAATTTAAGTAAATATTAGTATAAATTTAATTTCATTTTTTTATTATAGGATAAAAGTTTGGGCGATATTTGCTTTTCGTTGAGGTATGTACCAACAGCTGGTAAACTTACAGTTGTTATCTTGGAAGCAAAGAATTTGAAAAAAATGGATGTTGGTGGATTATCAGGTAAATCATCTAAAAGTGATAATATCATTTATTTTCAGTTTTATTTTCTAAATTTCAAATAATTGAAAAATGTGTGAATTAAATGATTTGAAGATATAATTTAAATTGTGCTAATAATTTTAAATGGTTTAAATTAAGATATATTTTAGATCCATATGTGAAAATAGTATTGCTACAAGGTGGAAAAAGATTGAAAAAGAAGAAAACAAGCATTAAAAAATGTACACTAAATCCTTACTACAATGAATCATTCTCATTTGAAGTACCATTCGAGCAAATTCAGGTGGATAAATTTTCTTGAAATAAATACTATATAAGTGAAAATTTTTAATTTTTTGATTTCTAATTTACATTTTCTTTTTTTTGATTTCTATTTTAGATTTTTTTTTTTAATTTCTAATTTAGAAAAAAAAAAAAAAAAATGGATGAGAATAGATATTAACTTATTATTTGATAATACCATGAAGTATGTATAAAGTTGATATTACGATAAACTAAGCTAAATTTAAATTCATTGCTTTGTTGTTTTTTTTTTTTTTTTTTTTTTTAAATTATTAAAAAATTTTTTTTTGAAAAATTATAGTTATGAAAAAATTACTCATAAAATTGAGCAATATTATTTCTTACATTTTTTTTTTCCTCTTCAATCTATCTCTCTTTAAATATTATTCAATTTAAATTTTTTGATAATATCTAAATTAAAATTAGTTTCAAAAAATTTCTCTCTCCCTCTCTCTCTCTCTCCCTCTCTCTCTCATGCATTTATTTTTTCTATTCAATTCAAAATTTTAACAGTAATAGATTTTTTTTTGAATTATCAAAAAATTATTCATAACATTTAGGCAATCCAATTTATTTCTTTTCAAATATTATTCAATTTAAATCTTTTGATAGTATTTAAATTAAAATTAATATCAAAAAATTTCTCTTTCTTTCTCTCTCTCTCTCTCTATATCCCATCAAAAATTTTTAGCAGTAATAAAATTATTGCAGAAGGTATCATTAATGATAACTGTGATGGATTATGATAAGCTTGGCTCTAATGATGCAATTGGCCGATGTATACTAGGCTGTTCAGCAACAGGTGCCGAATTACGACATTGGATGGATATGTTAGCCAGTCCACGTAGACCTATTGCTCAATGGCATACTTTAGGACCTGTAGAAGAGCCTGAAAAATCTTAAAATTCGATTTAGTTTTTTGTAATCGTCTTTTTTTTTCCGGAACAACGCTTCCGGAACAATTCTTCTTCTTTATCTTTTCAAAGAATCAACAATTCTTTGGTTTTAATGTGTTTCCGGCAATGCTAAAATAATATGCTATTTTCAATAATTCATGTAGAAATTGTAAATATAAATATTTTAGTGTCAAATCGATTAATCATATTCGATTTTTTTTTTTTTGGAATAATGCATTCATTATTTTCGGAAAAATTTCATTTATAAAATAATATATAGAATAGTTGGTTGAATTTTTTTTTTTTTAAACTTTAAAAACAAAATTTATTTATTTTTTTTTGCAGAAATCAGTTAATATTGCACATTAAATTTGTTAAAATAATTATGAATAATTAATTATTTTATTATTTATTTATTAAAATAATAAAAATTATTGTTTTGAAAATTTCGGGTTCAAACTGTTAAATTATTTGTGTTAAAAATTCCTATTTTCCTCTTCTCATACACTTTAAGTTTCTTGTGATAATAAAACTTTTTTATTTTTTATTCTCTCTCTCTCTCTCTCTCTTTCTCTCTCTAACCCTTTCTTTTTTTGCTTTTTTATTTTACAAATTGCATCTATTTTTTTTTTGAAATGATCAATTATAAGATTCTATTTATGTATTAAAAATTTTTATCCTTCAATTATTTGTAATTATTACTTATACCTCTTCCTGAAAATTTTTTCTCTTAAAAATGAGTTATTATTAATATCAAATTTCCTTTTTTAACTTACTTTAAAAGTTAATTTTTAAAATTTTACAAAAAATAGAGCATGTCGAAAGGTTTTTTTTTTTCTCAAAAATTTAAAAAATAAATTGTTGATAAAGTTTAGGAAGGGATATAAAATGTAAATTTAAACTGATTTTTTTAACAGAATTATTTGAAATCTGATAGAAAGTTTTTTTTTCTCTTTCCTTTTTCTTTTTTTTTTTTAAAATTTTGAAAATGTCATATGAGATAGAAGCTAAACACATGACATATATGTCAACAGACAATTTTATTAATTTGCTTGATGTGACATCATTAAGTCAAATATGTCTTCTTAGTTTAAATTCATGAAACAATTTATTTTAAATTTTAACATATCTTCCTTTGATCATAAAGTAAATCATAAAGTAAAGTAAAGTAAGGTAAAGAAAAACTTATAGTATTGACCTTGTGCAGAAAATTTGTAAAGTAAATTAATGAAAGTAAAATTAAATATTTGAAACAAAAAAAAATGGATTTTTTGAAATTTCAAATATTCAAATTATTTTTGCCAAACTTTTTTATTTCAATTAATCAATATTGCTATGTTTTTTTTTTATCATAAAAATCCTTTCTGATATATTTTTAAAAAATTTGCAAAAATAGCAGAACAAAAATTGGTATAAAGTATTCATTTTGATGAAGTAAAAATTTAAAAAAAAAAAAAAAAAATGATTTCAATTATTTGTTTAATATCTAAAAGTTTTCATTGTTTAATATTGTATATGAAATAATTTTTAAATTTTAATAAAGCTATAAAAATTGTTGCTTCTATCAGTAGTATTTTTTTTTAGATTTCAAATATTTGTATGATTTATTTGATGTTAACTATTTCAAAGTTTTTTTCTTCTTTTTTTTTTTTTTTTGATAAACTTTGAAATCAATCATATAGCTTAAAGTTTTTTAAAACTAAATAAACCTTTTGCTATTATCATTCTATTATCATTTCCAATTCTAGTAGCATTAACTATTATCAGTAATTTTATCAACTAATTAATTAATTATAATAATTGCATAGAATTTATATTGATACTGTCTGTCTTTCTTTCCTTTTTTTTTCCTACCATTTTATTTTATTTTCATTTTGTAAATAGTAAACAATGTATTATTTATTGTGCATCATAATTATACTAATATTTTATACAACAACAAATAATAATCTCACTATTGTAAATTTATTTATATTTACTATAAAATTTGTTTTGATTAACAATGATAGCAGCAACTCTCAACAAATGATCTATAAAAATTGTGTTTATTAGACTAAAAGTATATTAAACAAATGTTATTTGCATTTTTTTTTTTTCAATAAATAAGAAGAAGATAATAGTAATACTTTACTTTTTAATACTTTTATTATCAGTTCTGTGTTAAGTAATACTTTACTTTTCAATACTTTTATTATCAGTTCTGTTTTCATATTAGATAATAGTAATACTTTACTTTTTAATACTTTTATTATTAGTTTTATTTTCAGTAATACTTTACTTTTTAATACTTTTATTATCAGTTCTGTTATGCAGAATTTCTCGTTTAAAAAATAAAAAAAAAAAAATGGTACAATATATTAGGTTGTTTGGATCAAATTTAAATGAAAGAAGTTTTATCTTATCAAAATTTCCTTTACAATATCATAATATTACTATACCACTTTACTAATTTTTAGATATGATAAAATAAAAGAATTAAAAATTCGAGCAATCTTTGCTATCTGCTTGAAATTGATTGAAAAATTCGAAATTTAAGATAGAATAAATGAGAATAATAATTGAATTATTAAAATATTTTCAGGTATAAATGCATTAATTCATTTAATACCTTAATAAAATTTATACAATAAGATGCTATTGATATTATATAACATTAATAGTTGTATAACACTAAATTAAAAGTAATGTAAAATTATAAAATTCATTAATTATTCATCTGAAAATAAAATTTTCAACTTTTTAGCTAAGCTATCAGTGATATCAATATAGAATTTAGGTTAATTTAAAATGCATATATATATGTCAAAACTTACCTGACAACTAATATTCCATATGTCATAATGTCAAATTAAAAAAACATTTAAAAAGACATCTAACATCATTCATTGATAGGTGCAAAGTTATAGATGCTAAATTGACCTGTCATAAATGCTGAAGTTGACCTGTCATAGATTCTAAAGTTGACCTGTCATATATGCTAAAGTTGACCTGTCACAGATACTAAAGTTGACTTCTCACAGATATTAAAGTTGACCTGTCACAGATGCTAAATGACCTGTTACAGATACTAAAGTTGACCTGTCACAGATACTAATGTTGACCTGTCATATATGCTAAAGTTGACCTGTCACAGATACTAAAGTTGACTTCTCACAGATATTAAAGTTGACCTGTCACAGATGCTAATTGACCTGTTACAGATACTAAAGTTGACCTGTCATAGATACTAATGTTGACCTGTCATAGATGCTAAAGTTGACCTGTCACAGATACTAAAGTTGACTTGTCACAGATATTAAAGTTGACCTGTCACAGATGCTAAATTGACCTGTCACAGATACTAATGTTGACCTGTCATATATGCTAAAGTTGACCTGTCACAGATGCTAAAGTGGACCTGTCATATATGCTAAAGTTGACTTTATCAGTTCATTCATTGTTCAACCTAAAATCTTATCATCTCATTATTCATTCATTCATAAACAAAATTTCAAAGCTTACTATTTTGTAAATGAAACGATTAATAATTGTCACTGACATTTCCTATATTCAATGACTGTCACAAATGTATATTATTCGAGCCTTTGCATTTTGTTTATATGTAATAATACCAAGAATTTTAACTGTATTTTTATTCGTCAGAATAAACCAAACTAAATACCAAAAAAAAAAAAAAAATAGACAAATGAAAACAAAAGAAAAATAAATTGAAAAAAAATGAAAACAGAAGAAACAAAGAAATCTATGTTAGACGTTAAAATAACACAAAAAAAAAGTGAAGGCAGTCCACGTATGTAACCAAATGTCATACACGTATATGAAATGATGCTTGGAATAAGGGATAAGAAGTTATAAAAGATTCTATTGCAGTGTATACCATATACCTTTATCGAGAATAAAGGTCACGGGATAGCTATGAAACCAAAAAAAAAAAACTGTTCTTTTCTATGTTATTTTATTTCAATCAATTTTTGTCACTCATTTTTTTTTTTTATTTTTAAATCTTTCAAATATTAAAATTACCTCATCTACTAAGTCAATATTTACATCTATGAAAAATCCCTGAACAGAAAAGATACACGGAAACATCGGAATGTCATTAGAAGGATAGAAATGAATAGTGATATAAAATGGATGGAATGAAAATAAGAAATTGAATAAATTCATGAAAGACGACAAAAAACAAAAATCGCAGAAGAAAATAGGAAACAAGAAAAGTTGATTCAGCTTTTGCGATTCGTTGGTCATTCTCGTCCATCAAACATTGTCCAAAATCTCGAATGGCAGCTATTTGTGCATGCATGATTGCATAAAAATTTAAAGAAAGAAATCAATAATTCTAGTCAAAATAATAACAAAGAATGGAAGATAAACAATAAGAATCTATTGTAAAGGGGGAATAATTTTCGTGCAATAAAATAATGCTAAAATATGATTCCAGAAAAAAAAAAGGAATATGCAGGGACAAAAGTAAACACAAAAGAGAAGGTCAAAAATTGAATGTGCTTTAGAACTACAAATGATTGAAGTTTAGCCTAAACTTAATGTTTGGCTTAACATTAAAGTGTGATAATAAAGCGAGAAATTGTAAACTTCGAACTTAAATAACACCGGAAATCCTACAAAATTTTCTTGGTCGTGATAGCAGTAGTAAATCCATCCCTTAGCAAAGAAAAACACTTACTGATGCAATCAAAAATAGTCGAGAATGAACTGAAAGGTGAAAACAGAAAATGGAAAACGCTTGACAGAGAAAGGTATATGTATATAAGACAGAGAGAGAGAGAGACTCGTTTCCGATTACTGCATCTATATTTCTAGCGAAAAGATTCACGGAGATTATCACTAAAGATCAATCTCGAAAAGATTCAGGGAGATTATCACTAAAGATCAATCTCGAAAAGATTCAGGGAGATTATCACTAAAGATCAATCTCGGTTATAGTTTCAGAAAATTGAAGCTAACACTGGGTAGCACAGTATGATCCTTGCAACAATGCTTTCTCGC